AAATACTTTTACCAAGAATTGAATATTATAAACTATCGCGTTGATGGACGCGTGGCGGAAAGCAGCTGCCGGATGGTCCCGTAAAGGAGAGCTGTAGAAAATTTTGAAGTGGCCCTGGCGCGAGTTTGAAACTGGCCCGGATCATGCTCCCCCCGGCAACTTCTGCTCCTTTATTTTTGTTTTTGCATTGGTAAATATTGACAAGAATGCGATTATGTGTACCTAAAACGGTTCTAAAGCTTTTCGTTCTCCTAATGCATATTTATTTTTTGAGATGGTGCCCTATGTTATTTGCCGGCGTCAGTGACATTGGCAGTAGTTTCACGGTTTTGAAAATTTGTGATATAGCGATTTCTGTCCTAGAGCGCACAAAAGGGCCATTGCTTATTTTCTACCTTACATTCTCGATAAACAGCAGGAAGTCTCTTTGTTGGAAAGTGAACCCCATCCTTAACTTTTTTGAGAGCTTGATTGGTTTTCGCAACCTTCTTCCAACAAAATTTTTTATTCTTCCGGAATCCATCGCCAGCCGAAAATGGTCGTAGGACTTTCGAGAGTGAGATCCAATTGAAGTGATTCCTCCCGATTTTTTCTCCCATCGATGCCTTACCTTTCTCTTCATGAGCGCTGGGCTGAGCTCTAGCAGGACAACATATGAATCCTCCTCCTTCTTGATGTAGAAGTATCCAAAGGGATATAATTATCATTCCTTATTGTTCCTACGTAATTGTTCCATCTCAATGATTGTTTCGAAAGGGGTAAAAATAACTGCAGATTGATTAATTAAACTCATATTTACTCGCAATTTTACCCTTCCCTACCCCTCCAGTGCGTGAGCGCTCATTTACCTACAGTTGTGCCTTCTGAAAAACGATCGTCCACTTACGAAGATCCGATTTTGCACTGGACACCAAGTAGAGTAATTGAACTCTCCTCTTGGGCGCGTGTTTGGATAACGGTCGTTTGGGCCCGCCTCCGACACGAATTGACTAATCGCGTGCGCGGCGGTGACCAATCCCCGCACGAGGCCACACCCCTTACCTCCTGGTTGCCACACCCCATGACGGCTCTCTGCGCGCTTTCCTCACCGGCTAGTGTTTGCACAATGCCTGTCGGTCGCACTACGCTGCTCAAACGTCAACTGCTCGTCGTGACGACTCCATCTGAAGCACAGTGCCTTCGTGGATCGCTGTAGCGTGTCTGTCGGCTCTGCCTTCCGTGCTCTCTCGCGAGCAGCTCGTCTCGTCGCCGCGAGCGGCGTACTGTTTGCCTTCACCTGTGCAGTGCCGGGGTGCGCCTAGAGTCGCGCGTCTCATTCCATCAACTCCTCGAGCAACTCACTTTTTCATTCCGAGGCAGTAATTTATCTCCTTAAAACTCTTATATCGCACTTTGTGTCCTTTCTAATTTGTCGTACATGATGACCGTCCAGGTGATTATCGCGATGTTTCTGATAAGCTTATCAGCCTCCACGGAACACTTTCTTCCGTCCTGTAAAAGCTTATGTCCACACAGACATGTTAAGAAAGTGGTGTCATAGAGTCAATTTTGCCATTGGCTACTCAGTTGTTTGCTCTTCTGTGGTGGTGGTCGTTTTGTTTACATATTTACACATTCTCAGTTGCAAACTCCCAGTTAAATATTTGAGATCTAAACAACACGTGTCAATATTGAAATAAGGCTGGCAGCATTGATCCCCGTGAAGAACCGCTGGACCAAGGACGAAATGACCTGCGTAACAGGTGACTAAAGGGAGCTACCTGGGAGTTGGTTCCTGAGTTTTCAAAATTCCCCGAGAATTTCGCCTATTATGGCCGCCACTTGATGGATATGGGTCTTGGTACCATGAAGTTGGGATCTCTGTCTCTTCCCAGTGAACTCTCTTTTTCACCCTCATCTTATTATCACTACAAATCGAGTCGGGACCCGACCTGCAGCCCGAGCATTACTCATCGATAATTCCTCGATAGCGACCGTCAGCTATTCCGGTGCTTGGAACGCTACAATTTCAAGGGCTATTTACGTGTTTACCGGGACAGGAGATTCGTACCTGCATCGCCCACAGGTACCACGCAGTTCCAGACCTTATCAGTTATCTTCAGTCATCTTCCTCAGCCATCCCCGGTCCATCTCCCCCAACTCGCAGCTCGTTCTCACCATTTCCAGTACTCATTTTGATTCACCTCGGGTGTTTCCTTCACGGGAACTACCCCTGCCAGCCTTATCGGGGCAATTCACACCCTGGTGAGACGACGAGGCTTTATTCTGCCAATATACCGCCCCAGGGCTCTCTTGCCAGCACTAAATTGGTGTTCTCATCGAGCGCTTGAAACACGATATATGAGGTCAGCGCTAGCTACCCTTCTGCTTCGTCTCTTCATTATGAGGGCCGAGGATCCTTTCAGTTAGGGATTCGAGTCGAAAGAGGGAACTCCAACAAGAATTAAAAATTATTTTCAATCTATGAAGCCTATTTACCGTACTCCTCGCTTCGTCATTACCTAGCCTACTTGGGCTAAATTTGTCCCTTAACTTGCCAATTTCAGATTCGAAGGTTCGGCATGCTTCCGAGCAGTCTGGCCGTCTCATCGAGCACGGCGGCATTGGACGCCTCCAGCCTCTATCAACCGTCTACCGTTGGGCAAACGGCAATACATGTTCGTTCGTTTCGTGGTGTTCCTTTCGAAAAGCTTCTTCACCCCCAACAGAATTGATACGAATCGATCAAAAACTGGTCTCACTAGACTGCCGTCGTGTTGTTTTCGGCGGCAACGTCTTACGTGAGTGCGTGTGTGTGTGACTCACAACAGCACAGATAGCTTATCAGACTTGGCCTGGCCTCATTAATATACTGCAGGCGGTCAGGGGTGTCGAAAAAATGGCGACAGGGGAACCCACCCACATACACACCCAACTCCTACTCCTACTCGTTTACCTTGTTGTTTGATCATTTCTGTAATCTGTTCCGTTTTTACGCACTTTTGCACCGTTTTTCCCCGGACGCCGACGTTCTTGGAACAGCTGCACGGCGTGGTACTTACAAAAACGTATTTGTACGGTAGATGACGGCAATTTGTTCAGTTGTGATGTGGCTTTTGAAGCACCCCCATAAAATGATGCCAGTTCTCTTTTAAATGGCTGAAAAAGACGTCGCAAAGTACCAGAATACCTTACCCATCTTAGGGTTACGATCGCAATGATCCCTTTACCCTTACCCTTTGACATGTGGTTACTAGCTGGTATATGAAGGGAGCCCCCATCGAGTTAACTCTTTGTCAAGTAACTACCGTATCCTGGCCAAGCGAGATCCGGTCGGCAATAAGGCGCTGGCTACTGAGGTAGCTGTCATTGCCGGGGAGTTCGAAATAAGCCCAAAAATACCCGTGCTGACGCATAGGTAAACTTCTTCTCAAGGAACGGTACATAAATATCTTTAAGAGATATACCCAAGTAGGGGTGATTTTTACCCTCAAGACTTTATGTGGGCATGCCAGAGGTGGATCCCTTCGCCTGCCTTACTCCACCGATAAGATAGTGGTATCGTTCCGAGGGCCATGCCAAGCGGTTCCGTTTCACGTTCTTTCCCCCGGAGACCTTCTTATCCACAGCTGCCTTCTGGAGGGTTATTGGCGAAAACAAGTTCCCCCATCGTGCCACTAGTTCCGCTCAATTACTCAGCACAGTAAAACCCTGATTGGACTCTGCACCATACGTTCCCATCGACGATAACCTCGTAGCCAGTGCCCTCTTTGGACGTCCTTGATGACGCCGTGGGGTTTTTTGTCGGTCGCCTGCCCTTCTAGTCGACGTTGCGTTATGCTTTCACATCGATTGCACCGGCGCATCAAATTTCGTCGCCGGGCTGCTCGCGTCGGCTGGTCCCTCACGGAAAATTCCGGAAAAGCCGTCGTCGACGCGATGAAACCGGGTCGCTCGGCGATTCCGTCGCCACTTAGCCGATCCGACGCCGCGGTTACTGTACAACGAAGTAGAGTGTACGGTACGCCGGAGGGTGCCAGACAGTCACACGGGGTTAGAGCGCCGTCGGCCGCGCGCCTCCACGGTGACAGATATACCGTATGCTTATCCTGATGATGTTGACGAATACAACCACGGTGCCGGATTTGTGAAGTGTCTCATGAATGCGGGGGTTTCGTGAAATTCATCGATTTTGGTTAATTATGGTAGGCACCTCGGATAGTGAAGAAAATATGGTAATTGCTTTTTGAGTGGGGTTCTAGGTAGTTGGTTACCCTACTGGGTTAAAAAAAGGGGCAGCCTGGCCTGAATATCCAACTTTTGCGTCTTCTACACAAGCTACTCTCCACAGCGCATTGGTTTTAGCTTGAGATGCAGAGGAATTCTCGTAGAGCAATGTGAAGCCCCATCCCTAAGCGGACTAATCATAACGCTGGAATTTTCCTGTGAAATAAAGGGTCCAGTAAATCCTCACTCAAGACGAGCTTTTGGGAGGGCGAAACCCTGGAGTAGAAGGAGGGTCGGCTATCCGAAGCGGACTTTCCCAATTAGCTGAACGTGCGATATCGATTTTTGGACGGTTTTTCCAAGTGCGAGTTTGAAGAGGGAGAGTCGCGAACAAAGGCAGGGTAAGGGCATGCCTGCTAGGAACCGAGTAGGGGGCCACCTCAAAGATTGAAAAATTGCCAGCGTGGCGGTAGAGCCCTACGTGGCCGAGGGAGCGAAACCATTTTATTCCGTTTATTAGCGCTTTTTTTTCAGGTAGTCCCGTATATAAAAGGATATTTGGCTTGGTTTGAGATATTTGAGATATCTTGCTGCTACAATGCCCCCGTATCTTACGATAGCGCCCACAAGAAGACTTTGTTAAGAAATGCGAAATGTCCTAAATTGAATGATTTTCTGGAAATTTCAAATGCCCCCTTCTTCATACTTCATTCAGATTCCAAGGGCTCCTTTTTCAAGGGTCTTTCCACCAGCAGTTCGTTGCTCAAAGATCATCGCTCATTCCTTTTCAGGGTATGACCTCGCAAGATTACGCAGCCTCCGTACAACCGACGTACTCGACGAATACCAATGCCTACAATGCCTATCAATGGCCCACGGCAATCAATGGGATCAATACGTTGAATACGCTTGGAACTTACAATCCATATAACAGCTATACGACTACCACGACGCAGATGAATAACGCCTACGGCGGTTTCCGAGTCGGTGGAGGCATCTCGCCCATCGGTGAGTTTTCGACTATCAATTAGAGAGCTGGACCTTAAAGCTTAGCACAACCAAGAGGCCCTAAAGGTACCGCCCTACAAAACTCACTTTTCGAGTTTCAGGTGGTAGCCGGAGCGCATCGGGTGGCAGCACAGGAACGACCTTGTCCGGCACTTCCGCCTCGACCGCCTCACCTTCCCGTGGCTCATCCTGCGGTGGAGGCGATCAACAACTTACCAGTTCTGAGCTGGTAAGACCTATCAAGCATTTCGAGCTAACCATCGTACAGTACCGTAAATGGTGCCTTATTTTCAGGCAAGAATTCGACGTACCGGTAACTATGGTTGTGCAAAACCACCGTATTCCTACATTTCGTTGATCACGATGGCCATTCAACATTCAGCCAACCATAAGATGACCCTATCGGAGATCTACAATTGGATCATGGACCTATTCCCCTATTATAGGCAGAACCAGCAAAGGTCAGGAAGAGGGTTAGCGAATTCCATACTTATTGATCGATCCTCCCTTCCCTGACTATTGCTGAACACTCTCTGGGAACAGCACTTTCATCCAGAAAGCTCAGGCTCTGAGATTGCTATTCCATGATCCCATATTTCTGACCCTTTTTCGATCGCTGCACCAAAAAATCGATCAATTTTGACGATACTTCCGAGTAGCAGTCCAAATAAGTTCGCGTCTTTAGCCATGTAATGTCCGTAACCTCAGACCTGCAACACACGGAGGGGCAAGGAACGCTTATAAGGACCCATTTTGAATCAGATCTTTGTCCATTTGAGCAAGCAGTCTCTAAAGAGCCTCTTACTTTCAGGTGGCAGAACTCGATTCGGCATTCTCTATCGTTCAACGATTGCTTTGTAAAAATTGCCAGGTAAGTTCAACCCTTTTTTGTCGGTTTCCATCAAAATCTATGAAAACCCGATTTCAGAACCCCAGACAAGCCAGGAAAAGGCTCTTTTTGGACGTTGCACGAGTTGTGCGGTAATATGTTCGAGAACGGCTGCTATCTTCGACGTCAGAAGCGTTTCAAGGTCAAGGAGAGGGATCCGCCGAGAAAGAAGGTGTGTGGTTTTGCCCTATTTTTAAGAACTTTATTGATCGACTGGATACAAATAACAAATATTTATTTGGCTATAATTATCGATTTCAGCGTAACAATAACCAAAATCACAATCATCAAGGTCAAGCCAATAATAATGCTACCATCAAAGAAGAGCTGGACGATACCTATAAGATTGAAGAGGCCAAGATGGATCTGGGTCAGGCCATCCCTAACGGATCACAAGTAAGCACCCAAAACCGGGAGATTTGGCCCGAATTAGCTGGTCAGATCAAATTTATCGCAATTTTTCAGGATATCAAGGATTCCCTTCAACAATCCCAGCAACAACAACAACAGCAACAACAAATGCAACAGATCTCCATGTCGACGCCATCGTCGTTAAGTCAACCCACGTCTGTGATCTCCACTATTGGCACTACCCCTCTTGGAGCTCAGACGACTACTGTAAGTCATCTCATTATTGTTCTCTCTTCCGGTTTCTATTGTTCGGATTGCCTCAGGATGTGCCTTATGGTTGCGTCACTTCCTAAACATTAGACACTGGTGGTGGTCAAAGGTGTGAATGACGTGCTGCATTACGTTCACACCTTCGAGTTTACATAACTTCTCAATTGCAACTCAACCTGAACACCGCCGTCACCACGCACATCAGCCACCACACATACTGGCCCACACAGAGACTCTCCGGAGATACCTTCGGTACTGATTACTTGGGAAATGGATCCATGTAGCGCTCTATAGCGCACTAAAGTATTAAGATGCGTTTTTCGTTGATTAGAGTGACTAATAATCTTCCTATTGAAAACTCCGAACCTGATGAATTTTAGTAGCTTCTGTATATCAAGAATTCTTTTTATGCCCAGTCTTCAATTTTCAATTAAGACAGTCAATGACGTTACATTACGAAGCTAAACACTTGAAATTTCAAACAAACTAAAGTCTCGCAATAAATGTCGCTCTCTTATAACACCCATCCCATAATTACAAGCCTTTCGCTCTGGAGTTAGACGGATGTCACCACTGTCAGCATCTTTCCAAAAAACTGAGAACATTAATAATCTTGAACTTCTTTTGAAATGTCTGGATAGCAGTTATTAATTTTGAGTTGTTTTGATTATCAAAAGCAAGAAACGTGGGTTCGATTTTGGCGTGTGGAAAAGATTTTGCCGACAAGCCACTATTCTTATGATAGTATGGATTGCATTTCTTTATTTACAATCTAATGAAGATGATGCACCTCGCTAGCAATACCAATCCCTTAGACGCACGAGATTTCAAGGAGAAGCTCAATGAGGGGAACTGATAAATCCCTCGAAGTTATACTGTTGTGACCTGAAAATATTAAATTCAGGTGGGGGGGGGGAACAATTCATTCGTGCTTTCCTGGCCGATATTTCCTTCATTTTTTGACACAGTTGAGAGCATGCCACTAGTTCTGAAAAGATAGGCAAATAGCCTCAAATAACAATTGAGTGGCTCCTGGGCTGTATAACTAACGCATTCCCGAATCTCACATCCCGCTTTCGAGCACAATAACGGCGACAGAATATACCAAAATTTTTGAGCTCGGTACACCAGGGCATGGAATGGCCAGGGAAATTAAATAAGCCTGAAAAAGTGTCAAGAGCCAGGTGTAACTTATAAGATCACACGTCTAATCGAGTGAAGTTTTAGAACTGAACTGCTGAAGACTGAATATTGGGGTCCAGCGACGTTCGGCATTTTGCGGAGGGCCGAATCCGGGCAATCACCAAGCTAGAAGTTGACCCTGTGCTTTTCTCTGGGCATTTAATGTTCTCACTTCATTCGGCATTGAATGATACCGAGGAAACCCTGAATAAAGCTCTGTTCTTCCAGGTAAATCCGTACTACCAATTATACAGCACGGACTTTACCGGTGCCGGAGGTCTGCCAGGTCTCAGCGTCCCGTCAGCCTTCTCCATCAACAAGTTGATGGACAGCACAAATGGTTTCGACTATAATTACTACCAGACCTCTGCCAACGATTACGGTGGCTATTCACACACGCTTTACAGGTAATTTAATGCTACAGTACTCCATATATCCCCACAAAACTTATTTTTAACCATATGTGATTTCAGTTCGACAAATCCGAGCACAGCATCGAATCTCTGAGAGTTTGTCGAGAGTGTTCGTTGCACTATCACTCATATTCTACCGTAACCATCACGATCACCACTTCCAGCAGTGTGCAATTGATTACCGTATCTGTATATACATTTTATGTGTTTTCTGTTTATTCATTCGTTCATCCATTGATCGTTTTTCACCACGTTTTTTTCTTCCTCTCTTCATCTCATAACGGTTTCATCAGATGCCTTATATGTGTGTTGTGTCGAGACCACCAACGTTTTATCGATTCGCGTACCTCTCCCCTTTATTGGTCCCCATGAGAAATTCATCTTTCATACGGTTTTTTAACGGCCCTCTCGGTAATTACTTCCAGACCTGAGTATAGACCGCCATATCGATCGATGCAGATCGTCGATCCTCTTGGAAACCATTCGATACGATAATAAGCGTAATAGGGTGCTTCATCGAACGCATACTGACCGACTGTCCCATCCACCCATCCCATACACATAATTGCGATTTCACGCATTTTATCGATTTATCGATTTATCACCAAATATCGCATTTGTTTCGATCCTCCGTCTGTGAGCTGCTGTGGACCGCGATCGATTATCGATCCGTCCGCTGTGCACTTCAATAGTCATATTCGTTTTGCTCTCTGTCGTCTCTTTTCTTTTTCTATGTTTTCTGCAGCATTTCAATAGGGTAATAGATCAATAGGTTGTGGTCCATCAGGGAACTTACACACTCATCACAAAAGTCCACAACACTCAATTTCTGGGGTACTGTAGCTTTGTTTTGGTGCATTGACGACCGACGACCATTATAATCGTTTTTCGCCATGTCGCTTTGAGTTCGTATCCAGTTGTTCCACCGCCACCACCACCACCATCACAACAAATCTCCCTCCTCCTCGATAGATCGATTTATCGATTTTCCACAAAGAATGTGCATATTTATATTTTAGAGTGATTATGTTGTTTGTTGGAAAACAAAACGATAAAAAATTGAAATAATTGCGGGAAAAGGCAGAAGCAAAAATCGATTTTGAGAAAGCTCTCAACAAAGAGTCACCAATTTGAGTATCATTCGATCAATAAGGAACTGCAGAGTGATCAATAAGTCGAAGGCAATAAGTGTATTGCTCAAAAACAGAAAAGAAAAAAATTGTAGATTTTCTGCTTTTTATACCTAAGTATTTCTCACTTTACGGCCATAAGACTAATACGTTTGCCCCTAAAATCAGGGAAACTATCTGTAAAGGCCGCGCCGATGGCCTATAGTTCACTCGTACTTCTCCCTCGTTGTCACTCGCTCCGGGTGTCCACATGTAGTCCGTTCGTCTCTCAAAGTGAATTTATAGAGCGTATGAGGAACCCTATGAACGGTCACCGTTACCTCCTGCAAATGTTCCTCGTGGCGTTAGGCCTTCTTTTTGTTCACCTTATCGAAGAGCGGAAACCACTTGAATACTACCAGAGAGCTGCCCTTCTTTCACTTCTATATTGTACCGTTCACTACTCTCCAGACACTGCAATCACAAATGAACAACAAGGATAACACGAGCGCTGAAAAGAGAGACCACCACTTGTATGAGGCCATGAGTGATGCCTGCGCAAACGAATGAAATGAAAACTACAGAAAAGACGCCGTACCAGCTTTGGGGATATGGAGTCATGGGGTTTATCTAAGTAGGGAGGTAACTGAAGCCCAAGCAGGGGTATTCCATACCTCCCGCGCCTGCCTCTCCAAATTCGGAAGTTGGAACCTTGAAGGCAGCTTAAATATCAACCGTTAAGCAACATAACGCAAGCTCCGGATGAATTGCTATTCCACTACTTCATGTCAAAGATAAAAAGCAGATGTGTGCTTAACTTTAAGGCTTCCCTTCTTGTCTCCGATCTTCTACAGTTTGGTCCTTCATGACGGGAGAAGGTATCGCGCAAATTTTACATTACACGTTTCTAAAAAACAATTTAGCGAGATTCTCTCGTGGTTTCCATAAATATAATGCGACCTTGAATCTTGTAGCTTTAACGCTATAGGCAAATTTGCCATATTCAGGAACCTTTAGTGGACACTAATTTTTATTTTAGTTCAAGGGAAGTTTGCAAAAATCAGGACGCACCGTGTATAATCCTTCATACAAACCCTCTAATCACCTCAGTATTGACAGTCGATCTATATATTATCTAATTCTTTGGCAATATTGATGTTTCTCGAGACCAAAAAGAAAAAGCGAGACTGATGCACATTGTCAGAGCCCGAATTTCGCCCGAATATGCATGCGGTTTCGGAAGCAACCGATCTTCCCACTTATATCATCCCACTATTAGTCGGCCTTCGAGTATAATGTATGCTATACGAAGTCTATTTCACTGCAAGGCTCTACAACACGCTCTTTAGCACTGAATCGGTCCCATCAGCTCATTGTCGATCTCGTGAAGATTTCAGCAGAAAAAAATTGGTGAAAGTTCCACAGCGTATCGAGGGTGTAGGTTGGTATAAATGGCGCAGTTTACCGCGTTCATGATCCAGGTTCAGTCCTGGCCTCTTCAAGTCGTTGAACCATATCGCGTACAGGGTTTGTATCTCGCTCAGGCCGGCTAGTCCTTCCCGAACTCGGGCAATGGCTCCCAGTCTCGTTGACCTGAACACACTGACTTGTACATAGGCTGACCCCTTGAAGTCGTTGAGCCACATCGCGTACAAAATTTCTCCACCACTGTAATGCGCGCGGCGCATCCCAAAAAGGGTCTGATCCATTTTCAACCTCCTTTCTTTTACCAGTGCACCTGATTCGTGCGTTTTTCAAAATTTCGTAGGAATTTCACGATTCTCCGGTGCCTCTCACTCTCTAGTCTGTCCCACTCTCGTGTCGCTGGCATAAGAGTCGTTTGAGAGGACACTTGCGGCCGGTCGCACGAATGAGACACGATAGCGACGAAGGAGTCGGCTGCTGCTCGGCCGCCGCGGCTGGTGGTGGTGGTGGTAGCCGGATGCAGAAATCACGATATAAATCCACTATGAAGGGACCACGATTATTGCCAAAGCCGGGCGAGATGAGAGCCTCAATGCTATGGATATTGCGATTTAGCTGTCGCAAGGAAGCGAGAGCCTAGTAACGCGATAGCCGAATCTCATTAACCCGAACTCATTCCTACACACAAGGGCATTCCCAACTACTTTTTTGGAGGCTCACGAATCAGACGACGTTATTACTCTTGCAAACAGTCAAATGATAGCTGATAAAGTTGGCTAAGGCATCGTTAAGAGCTTTTCATAGTTGTTTTGACGTTCTCATCCATTTTGTTTACGAGCAGGGCCTGTGGAAAAAAAATTTCGTCGCCTGCTGAACTTTCTTACGGCCGCTGTAAACTACGCTTCAAGACAGCAAAAAGGCAGAAACATACTTGAGAGCGGATTTAACCCAATTCACCAGACCTTCTAGTATTTTTTTCGTCGGAACTTAGTAGGTGGCGCTGCAAAACTTACCGCAGTGAAGAGGTTGGTACAGCCGATCCTCCCAAGTCCCAATGGTCCGATACATCACCCGCTGGCATACTATATGTGAGACCTACGAAGATCTAGTATCACATGAGGAATGCAATCGCGGTGAATCATTCGGACGCGCTGCCGGACGGCCTTAATCCTTCTAGTAAAAGTTCCCTACTGTTGCGCAAGGAACGGTCCGACAGATTTTTGCTTCGCAGCCAGTCCAGACGCAATATGGCGAGTCGCGGCGCGAGGGTTCCTGATCACTTCTAATCGCGTAGAAACCACGCCGCGTCCCAACACCGAAGTCCTTAAGTGAAGTCCTACGAAATACGCTTCGCTTTGTTTTCCGTAGGCTTCGCTTCGAAGTCTGGAAGCCTAGCGAAATCGCCAAATTATCTGGTTCGAGATGCCACGTTCCATTTTCGCCCCCTCCAACCTTACCACACAAAGACCTCAATCATAAAGAATCGGCGCTGCCTTGGCTTCTTTTTGCAATATGTGGCTCAATTTCAGAATTCCTACGATTTCCAGTCCTGCGGACAGCTCTGCAGGAGCCGTAAGCCAGGAGATTTGGTAGCTTTATAATCGTCCAGGATCGACCTTCTTTGTTTATGGCATGGTTTTATCAGATGAGTACTTGACTGTAGCCGTCCAAGGTTGGGTAACTTTATGCGGGGCTAACGGTTCGGCTTCTTCGCTTTCGTCAGAGCCTGAAAAGTCAAAAACAAATGTGACGTGCCCCCTCGAAACCCCTCCACCTTATGAGACAGTTTCTGTCCTTAGTAAAGCACCTTAACGGTAACGATGCATCAGGAGCCTGCTACCAGGCCTACTTTAAGTCGACACCGCCATGACGCGAGGGCGACCACCCTCCAAAGGGCTTAGCTTGTGCTCACTGGAAACGTTGAACATGACCTTTTATAAAGGCAGTGGAGTTTCAGCACACAAAAGAAGCAATTAACCTGTATTTCACTCCAAATTACCAGAAAAAAAAAATGTATCGTAAACGAACTAAAATTTATAGAAGATCAGTGAGTTCACGTTTTGACCTTCATCCAATTGAAATTGCTTTGCTTGGCGGAATCTCCCAGAAGGCGAGACAAAATCTTGGAGTCGAAGTCTGCGTGTACTCAGAACAGAAGGTTGCGGTGAAGCTACCACTGCAGCTTTTTCGAATCCTAGAGCCCTAAAGGCGTCAGAGCCGTAAGGCATGAAGTTTGTCGTTCCTAATCTGTCCTCAATTTTTCAGGGAGGAAGAAGCTTAGAAGGGATATTCAGTTATATTTGTGTGCTCCTAGTTGCTTTTAAAGCTCAAATCTGTACTGGACCTCGTCTGGGCCTTACCAACCTGCTAGCGCGCACGGGTCGACTTAGGAGGATAAAGGCACTGCCTTCTATCTCTGCTGGTCCACGCAAGCCGTCGTCGGAGCCAGTGCTACCCAAAAATCTACATATCTTTTCAAATGTGCCTTTAAAATATAGATTGTCCGATGGCAGTCGAGCAAACACTGAATGTTATGAATTTTTAAGTTCAGCTGTGTAAT